TTGACTTCTGTTTTTGTTTATTGTCACTTTAACTTAATCTACTCTAATTCTATTATATACATGTACATACCGCTAAAATCTCACCATTCGCTCCATGTATGTTTGATACATGTACTTGATTTCTTAATATACTCTTTACTTAATCTTTGTTCAATGCCGGTGTATGTTTTGTTGTTAAAAAGATATATATTCAGTTGGAATCAGACCTTCGGAACTGATAGTTCCCAAACGCGTGCAGGTAAAAGTTTATTCCATGATAATTCCATGTAAAGTACTAACAAATTTGTCAATGGCAAGTTCTCGTATTTGAGTCTAGAGATTTTCATGAATCTGGGTTAAAAACTCATTGTTGACCTAGAAATAGTATTTGAAGGGCAAATTAATCCCGTAATACGAGGGGTGATCAAAAAGTTCGCAAACTAATTGAATAACTTCCATACAAGAAACAATATTTGGTTTTAATGTTGATTATTACCGTCTTCCTTGGAAGACGGTATTGTATAGTTGAAGTTTTTTACAGTCTTCGGACTATGCACTTCCTCTCTTTTGTGATTGGTAGAAAATGCATGATGAGAAAATTTTCAATTATTTCATTGGTTGAAATGCTGTGCAAGGCAAGGGAGATAACTTTCTGATGATCTAATTTTCGTACGACTTAACAATTTTGCAAGATTTTCAATCTTAAAAAAAATGACAAAACGAACAACAAAATCAGCAGTAATTAATTCCTAATAACATGATTTTTTGTATAGCAAAAAAATAAAAAGATCTCTTTAACTTCATTATAAATAAAATTTGATTTTTATTGCTTGCAGGCTTTACAATTTGTTATTATTCTTTTCCCCTTTCTTGTTTGAAGAAGGAAATGGAATCAGCCGAGGTTTGCCGAAAGCTCTCGGCGAGTCAAAGTTTACGGAGATGACCGAGCGACAACCGTGGTAGGGCTAATGCCAGTAAAAAGCTAATGTAGAAATACAAAATCAAGAAATTCAAAAGAATTATACGGTCTGATAGGTGTAGATCAGTTTACAGTTTAAGACTGTTGCTAAAGACGGGAAGCTTTTTAAAAAAGCTCTACTTGTATTTTAAATTAATCCTCCCCGATTTTAATGCACATCAACCACCGTTCTGCGCATGCGCGAATCACGTGATATTGGCGGTCACGTGACCCCCTCCATAGCGTTCTGTCACAAAAGTTAAAAGATTTTTCCGAGTTCCATATTTCTTTCCATGTGAGTTAATTTTTATGACAAGAACAGTTAATTTGTCAGAAATGGTCATATCTCGGCAACAGAATGGGTGGATAATAAAATCCTTTCCAAAAATAAGCATAGCGACCATTAAAACACAAATCTTCTGTCTCAGGAGAGACCTTTATTCAAGGTGGATAGAGAATGGGTGCATCCTTTTTATCATATCTAATATGTTTAAAATCTAAAGTAAATGATATCTTAGGTATTTAATTAATACTTATATCATTGTTCAAATATTCAACTATTTTTCAAAGAGCTAATTGGAGGTCTTTGATAGCAAATTGCTTAATTAAAAATACATATCTTTTCAAACTTGCTTTCACTGGGCAAGATGACAAGTATCATTTTTAACCATCAGCCTTCCTTCACTAAAACGATTAATCCAATCATTAATTGAATTTATAGGAACTCATTTATCTCAATAAACTGTGTACAAATTATTATATGATACTGTAGAGGGATTTCTAAGATATTACAATAAATTGTACAGTCGTTTGTTGAACGAGTTCGACTGAGACAACCATTTTTCGTCACAAGTGACCTAAATAGTGACGTCATTTTCATATTGTGACGTAACAAACAAGGAGAGAAACTTTATTCAGCATATGCTATTTATAGACCTTGTGTATGGCTATGTGTGTACCGAATTTCATTCTAATCTGAATTGTGGTTTTGTAGATATAGAGATAGTTTGCGAACTTTTTGATCACCCCTCGTACATTGCACAGTGTAATAATCTTACAGAAACTAAATGAAAGAGAAGTGTACTGAAACTCCCATAACGATCATAGCACATACATGTACATTTGCTTAAAAGTCAAAAACTTTTGGAAATAGTTAGTCCCATTTTCCTATTTTTCTCCTTTTCCCGTTTCCCACTTCATGATTTCCTTTAATATTTTCTTTCTCCAGTTCCATCACTGTAAAAAAATAACTAGTTAATGTCACGAAGAAAACTAGTAGATTCACTGTCCATACAATCACTACCTTAATAGTAGTTTTACCCAGATATTGGTATATTTACTAGATAAGATTAATAAATTTAGAATTGATGAGTAACTTTCACTAGGTATCTAAGTATCTATACGACCCCCGCTCCACAACTCACTATCTTAACCAGTAAACTGAAAGTTTACTAATCACGACCAACGCTTTACGAAACACACTAGTTAAATTCACTAGGTTTTTCTTTCAGTGATCTTTTTTCTTCCTTCCAGCCAATCACCCGTCTTCCTTTTGACTATTTTTCTTATGATGATTTTGTAAAAAAAAAATATATATATATATTAATTTTTTAAAAAGTTGTAATTCACACACAGGGGTTTTAAGATATCCCCACGAATATTCACCTAAGCATTTTCGATTTTTTTTTCTCCCTCTCAAAAATTATCTTACAATTTCATATTTGTAATATATACTAACACTTCAAAATCTTTTCTTCAACAAGTATATTTTGTTATTTCTATTCCACGTTGTTATACATAGTTACTTGATTAGAATTTTTTTGGAGATATTTTTTGAGAAACAGTCGAAATTGACCCGAGGTTTAAAAGGGGTGTGCATGTGTCCTGTCCTTAAGCACCTGTTGATTACAGAAGGCAACCTTGATTTTGCACATGCATGTGTGTTAATTCAGTAACTTAAATTAAGTCGGTCAATTAAACAGTACCTCCCAGCACATAGCTCTTGTGCAAAATATTCTCTTTTGAAGTCATTCGATCTTTCAAATTTACTTCGATCATGTGAACCTTTTGATTTCCTGCACTTGAAAAGAAAAATCAACCTTCCTATATAATAAGTGTATCGTTTTGAATAATAATTCCCCTAATAAGTGTTTTAAACAACTCTTGAATTTTTCAACCTTTCTTTGATTTAATTTAAAAAAATCAAATTCTGAAACACAAATCCCTTTCAAAATAAACACTACCTTACATGTATGTATTATCTCTTTTATGCGTAGAAGTAAGTGATCGTGATAAATTCATGATAAAAAAATCTTCAGGTAATAAAACTCTTACTGTACCAAGGTACCATTGCAGAGAAATACATTGTTGCACATTATACGCACGTTGTGCGATATATAATTACACGCTTGGCACTTATAAAGTGAGGTAAAATAGATGTCAAATTATATACTATTAAATTTTAGCTCAAAAGATGCATGTTCCTGCAGAGAAGATTATACCGGTACGTTTTTTGAAACCCTTTATTTTCCCTGTAATGTGAACAATGTAGATTCAATTTTGGAATTCATCTAGCTCGACCATCTATTAATGTATCCCTATAAATCTTTTTATCATTGCAAGATGCATTTAGATCCTTAAAAAGATTAAATTAAAATACATTCCGATTTCGCCCCACGTTGAGGTAGCAACTTCGATACCCAATTCTCAAGGTCTTGTCATTTGATACTATTAAATCATCATCATCAAAGTTAAGTGATTAGACATTTAGAATAAGATTAATCTTCAAATAATGCACCCTCCCGAAGTTGAAAGGGAGTTGAAGCGATTTTTCATCTTTTTTATAATCCTCGAAATTGATCCCTGAGTTTCTTTTCATTATGTAATCTTTTCGGATTCCAGAACCACCTTGGTCCCTGCTCTCTGCATGCCGTGACGTCACTATCCTTAGACTTCGTTGCCAAGGTGCTTTAAATGAAAAAGAATTTTCTCATTGTGTTAGAGTCTTTGCAGGTGAAATATTTTGCTTCCATTAACATCAGAACTCGCTTCATGTCGTGAGAGTATTCGGAATTGTTATTTTCCATAAGAAAACTTAGTAATGAGTTTCGATTTTCATTTCACCATTTTGTTCTCTTTCTTGTTATGACCCGATGAACCAATCCATCAATTACTTAAAAAAATTAAGGTTAAGGTGTCGCTGTGACCCAGTGACGACAGAGGATATAATCTTTACTTACACTGATAACGAAATCAATGGCAGTCATTGTTCCTATGTTGAGATCATTTTTATTACACCTGCATAAATTTCATGACTCAGGAAGATATACCTGTATGACTGAAATTAAATGCACAGTTCCTATACTCCTAACCAAGACAGACGATTCTCTGCATATCAAATACATTTATGGCCGAAATATGATTCATTGTTTGTTTTCCTCTCTATTCATTATGTAATAACAGACAGATAGGGACGCGTTTCTGCGAAGAGATTTTCATTACGTCTTTTCCCACGACCTAATCATTAGCATATATACAACACAATATGTTTTCATCCGGTTTAAAGAATATGCTGGATTAATACATTAACATTTTAAATTTCTAAAGAAATAAAATTCAAATGCTTAATACATGCATTTGTTCGTCGTATATCTTCTGCTGTTATTTAGAATTCTTGAAGTATTATAGCATTTTTATAATTAATTAAACAATATATGACGTACACCAAATAATCCTGCTTGGTACGCCAAGATTTTTCCTCAATAATATACTTCATATTCCCCAACAAAAAATACTATTATGGTTAACCATAGTGATACTTTTGAGGGTTTGAAAACTATAATGACACTTTGATTTACAATAGTGTAAACTTTGCAAACTTTGATTTACTATAATGAAATCTTTGATTTACTTTAGTGATCATTTTGACGCTTTAATGATACCTTTGTAAATTTTGTAAATTATTGTTAACATAACATAGTAGTTTTTGTTAGAGTTTGCATAATGTATTATAATAGAAATAAATCCTACGTCTGCAACTAGATTAAAAATGAAATTGTTTTTTTTTTTTTATTTAAATACACGCAAATGATTTCTTCGAATTCATGTTTTATCGATTACATCTGAATTTGAAGCCTTTGAATTTTGCGAATATTTCTTTGACTGCTTCCAGAGCCTTATATTTTTCATGAGAATCGCATGATACTTTGCGTCATCAAGTTCGTCTTCCTCCAACAGAGAACTCATCAGTGGTATAGCACTTCCTTTTCCGTTGAAAGACGAAGATAACGGAAGCACGGGGGTTGATTCGGCATTTAAATCTTCCATGGAGTCCATGGAACCATTGTTGTCTATTTCGTCATCGACAACTAGAGGTTCACTTCCATATCGGACCAGTGGGTTTCTGAGATTACACATGACGTCATCATGAGCTCTCTTCTTTAGATATTTGAGAGCTGGGCGTTTCTTTCCTGAACAACTAAAGGTAGCACTCCTTGCAATGGGATTTCTCGTTCTTGGATTCGTGATAGATGTTATGGCACTATTGATGGCTAAAAGTTGTTTCATAAGCTTGACATCTTGATTCCGTATATCCTCCTAAGAAGGGAGAAAAAAAATAAAATTATACAAAAGAAATGTATTATATTAATTTTCTTGTCCTTATCTGAAATGATAATGTCCTATATTTTGATCACAGAAATACATTGCAGCGACAAAAGCACACAAAGGGTAAAACCGAAAGTAAGAATAGTTACTTACCAAGTCCGATTTAAGCCGTGATAAAGCTTGTGTTATTCTATCTACGGATGAGTCTTTCTCCATTTCCGTGTGTAAAATCAAGTGGAATTCCACTATCGTTTGACGACTTTCGACTTCTGTTCAGAAAATTTTCTTGGGCGACACCAATATGGGATGTTTTCATTTAAACAGGAGAGATCACATGCATTTACCGGTATATTCGTAACATCCATTTAATCAGACATTTTATGTGGTTTATATGTCTCCTCTTCGATCAGTAAATTTTTACCTTTACTGCATTTTATTAGAGGTTTCCACACGGCTGAGTAAACATACATTACAACAGTTGAACTTTTTATCAATTTATTATGCAGACTTTCAAAAATGTTTAATGACGAATGAATAGTGATGAAGATTTATCATGTATTTGCCAATCATATCGTAAGCCGAGCAGGCTTGACCAAACAAATGCTCAATAATTTATCTCAAGTGCCAAAAGCTTTCCTTTTTATACGAAAAAAGAAGGGATAAATTCCTCACCTTTTGAAAAATTAAAACCAAAAATAGGGGTACGTCTGATGGTTTCAAATGGATATAGCGTTGTTTAAAATTTGTGTGTTTAATGCAGGTCAATGTATCTTGTAAGCTTTTAAGATGATTTATTCACTACAAAGGAATTTTTCTTTTCTAGCTTAGTAGTACATGCACATGAAATTGTATTCCTGTGTTAATAAATACAGATAACATAATACATTTATAAAAATATCAACCAAATTAAATGCTCTTTGTTTCCTTTTCGCAGAACAATGTGCAAAGTGCTTCTCGTCAAAGTGTACCTCTTTATAGGGGAAAAAAATTAACAAGTTGGCAATTCATAATCCAACACAAAGTGCATTCCATAAACAACCAAAGAAGCATTCAATAGTTCATCTAATCAGTAGATATGAACTGCAAAGCACCGAACTCAAACGACTTCAACATAATGTTTAAAGTGCTTATAATTACAGAGAAACATATTTAAAGATCATAGTCTGTTCTTAACTGAGTGTATTGTTAATGTATGAATTTCTGAACACTTTTTTCCACGTATCTTTAGTGCATCACATGATACGATTCTGATTTGTCAATTTCTTAAAGAAAAGCACTTAGATGAGTTTATTTATTGAAAAAGGCACATTGCTTTTTTTCTCACTTATTTACTAGTATTAACTACATAGATGTTACAACAAACATTTGTTTCACAAAATACACAATTGTTAAATAAACGGTAACATTTTGATAACACTACATTGAGAAAGTCACAGAAGTGTCTTTTCTTTATTCTTCCCCCTTTTTTTGTTTCTTCTTTTATAATTCATTTTCCTTCATTTTCTCTGTTAAAAAATAAATACCTGCGGTAATTTTCATTTCAGATAACTTTTCTTTATATACCAATTTTTCTTTATATTGTTTAGGACTTTTCATCAGAATTGACCATCATGGAAAAAAAGATTATTCTGTATTTAAAAATGACAATGACACATATATATTTTTTTATTTTTGAAAACAAATGCAGATGCAAGTACATAGCCAATAGTAAAACGATTTCAAGACTTGCCCTCTTTTTTCTGTTAAAATCTCACACCAAAATCTAAGTTACAATAAACAAAATATTAATCATTCCCTCGGGTGAATTCAGGTGGAAATTAAGAATAATCCTTCCTTTCTCCAGAACCTGATGTATGTCAAGATTCATCAGCAGTGGCAATGAAATAAATTAAAAATTCAAAATAGAATTAGTCATAACAAATGTAATCTACATAAAAATCTGTGAAATGGAACTCTTTTTTCACTTTAAAAAACGTGAAATGACACAGGTTACGCACAAACTTTGCATGATGTTGATATTGCTGAATTCAGAATTAGGTCAACTTTGGTGATCAAATTACTTTTATATGACCTTTAGCATTGAAATATATTGTTACTTATAGGGAAATATGAAAACAAATAAAACATTACCTGTACGCGTATTACGACTTTAAAAGAACTTTTTTGAAATATAGGGAAATATTAATTTAATTTATATATTATATACAAGTGTATGGATTTGCACCTATGAACCCAGTTACTTTTTTCGACACTAGTATTAAAATTTTATGTCCTTGTTTGATTAGGTGTATTATGAAGCCAATTTGTGGAATGAACGGCTTTCTATGTAAAAATGAATGTTTAACTGGAAAAAGAATAAAGATTGAGATTAGTATCTTCCCAAGTTAATGTGCTGAATTGTAGATCAAGGTACTTTAAACTCCTAACAGCTAAGTGTATTTAAGATGAAAAAATATTTATGTTTATAATGATTTTACCACTCCTTGAGTACTAATACAGAAATGATATTTGTTTTTTTTGTTCTAAGGTCACTTGGCGTACATGGAAGTCCATAATTCACATAAGCTAATTGTCCCGTGCACTTTATGACTACCTATTTAATTTTTTGGTTGTTAAGTTTGACAACAAACAAAGTGGGCTGGATGAATCACGTGATATGTGGAAAAGATCTAGAGAGACCCGTCAATCAATTTTAAAAACGAGACAGGTCCCTGCTATAAAATCTCTTGACACCTTTGAAATAAGGTTAAAACTCTGTAAACTGTACTCGTGCAAATACGTTTTCAATCAAACGGTGAAACATGGAGAAAGATTCATCTCTAGACAGAATTACTTTAGCGCTTTCAAAATTAAAGACAGAATTGGTAAGTAAAGATATGAGATATTAGCTTTTTAAACATAGATTTATCAAACATTTTAAAGATTAAAACATTTCTTTTTCATTTTTAAAATGCAATTAAAACATTTCTGTCATAAAGCAAAAAAATAATTAATTTATTTTTATCATTATTCATTTCATTGTTCAGATGGAAATGAGACATCAGGATGTGAAGCTGATGAAGCAGTTAATTTCAATTAACACAACTATTGGATCCATGGCAAACACAAGACATAGGAATCCTGTTCTTAGAAGTGCCAGCTTTGGTTCCCTGAAGCGGAGGAGTACAGAGAGGATCAACAGCAGCAGAAATAGACCCGGCGAGATGATGTGCCTAAGAAATCCCCTTGTCCGACATAGAAGTGCTCCAATCATGGTTGATGACAGAAAAGATGAACAAAATTCAGGTGTGTATGATTTTTTAAAATAATTTTATTGCAGTCACTTCTTGTGTCTTATAATGTATTAAAATAAAGTTCAACAGCTTTCATGTTTTATATTTGACAATATTTGTTATTAATAATCATTTTTCTTCAACAGATATGGGCAGTTTGGAAGATGTTGGGGCTAGCAGATCGTCTGATTCAGAGAATGATCTTGCATCACTGTGTAGTTCTGCATCATCACTCGTATCAGCCAATCAGGCCTCGCCCCCGCCGTATCTGCGACCGCTTCCTGAAGAGGAGGACACGGACGAGAAGATGTATTACGGAATCTTAATGAAAAACATTAAACTCTGGAAATATTCTCAGGAGTCTATTAATAGCTCTGAAAGTGACAGCTCCTTTGACAGCTAATAAAAAATGACTTCATTAGCAAATTTAATTAATGTGGTTTTGTATGTCGGAAGTGACTCATGTGCAATATTGACAGGAGTAGACAATAATATAATGTTTTGAACGTCTTACTTTCTCCAACCTCTATCATCAAAGTGGGATTTTGCCCATCGAACAACAGTTATTCATCCTTTTTCTGGAAACATTAAGCTGCAGGTATGCAATGGATACAAATATTTATTTCCTTGATCAAGGATTGCTTAGAAATAAGGCAATTTTGAAATATATCGTATAGGTTTTTTTTTAAATTGTAAGAAAAGATTAAACAATAGATTTCTAAGATATGATTTTATCTTTTTCAGAATGGAATAACGAAGCCTCGTCAAGAAAAAATTGTGAAGAGGGGAATGAATGTGTTTAGACAAAGCACCAAACATCTTCCTAATACTCATTCTTGAAAATATGTGCAATACTGTGATAAAAATCAGAACTTTTTGTATCAATATGTGTGTGTTACTACGCAAATAAAAATTTCAAATATAAATATTAGTTTAATCATTTTTAAATCTGGGAAATCTTTACAATTTCAAAATATATTCAAGTATACATATGGCAAGGAAGATATCAAATATAAGTACATTTATCAGTGAAATGGACTGTTTTAGAGGCTTCTCTGCTTCTGATTTGTATTGTTTGAGTAGACTTTTGAGCTTGAATGGTGTTCGTTATCTTAATATATTTAATGTTAAAGATTTGTTACATCAGGGAAATTCTAGAATTCTAACAGACTTAACAAGAATGAAAGTTTGGCAGATCTGACAGATCAACAGTCTAGTTAATACTTTATAGCTGATACCAAGTTTGTTACAAACTTTGATCATAAACGATCGATCTGAGTTGAAGATACTAGAAATTTTGAATTTCCTTAACTTCCAAACTGTACAAAATGGAGAGATATAGTAAATGTTAAGTTACAGAAGATTTCTTAACTATAAGAAAAGCACTCTGTAAAAGAGAAAAGCATGCGTCCTATACAGGGTTATAACTAAAACTAATAATTTTGCAGCAGGGATCAAAGTTATTATTACTTATAATAATAACCACATACAGATTACCATATACGAACGTGAATGCATTGTAAGCTGGAATAAAATATGTGCACGTTTTACACTATGAAAAGCAAAATCATTCGATATATATGCAATTAAAAGTTGTTTTCTTATCTTCACAATTACTTTTTAAATCTATAATATGAATTTGGTATAAAAGCCAAAAAAAAAAAAATGTACTGACGCAAGTCTGTTATTTATTGCATTGAATTATACGTTAAAAATTTCCGGTTTTATGCAACAAGTTTTTTTTTTTTTTTTTTGGTGATTTTTATCTTCAATTATGTTGAAAGGCAGCCGCCCAGTCTGTTGAATCGTTTAGTAAATATTTGTAAATTGATACCTACAAATATTGACTTCTGTCCGGTACGCATGGGAAAGGCAAATGTTCATTCAGTAAATTCATTTCAGAAAATAGCAACTTGGCATTGATCCAAATTATTTTTCAAAGCAGTGTTTCCTCTTTATTTTGACTAGCCATAAAACTGTTAGACCCTATTCCCCCTAAAAAAAAGAGTTGTTTAAGAAAAAAGGTATATGTAATAAAAACCAAATTTATGCTTAATTATAACATTTTAATTGTCAACTTTTCCTATAAATACAGTGATATACTCTTTTCACTAGCATGTAGGGTTTATATTTCTCAATGATTGATTTGATACGCAAGAGCATGCTCTACGTATAAACAATTTATAAAACGAGATAAGTTATTGACACACAAGTTAATGAAACAAGAATATCAGCTGTCTCGTTTTAAGTCATCATTTCGTAAGTTCCATGGGCGATACAATGACCCTGTTCGCAAATTCACTTATCATTTAGTCAAATGTTGAATGTTGTTTTTTCATACTACTGGACTATTATTTACACACTGAATTGTCCATGGATTTTCCGTTCATTTCCGATCGTGAAAAGGAGCACATGGTGGGTGTGACCGGTCGGTGGGGGATACTAACTCCTCAATGGCACCTGATCCCATCTCTGTTTGTCCGTGTTTGCTGTGCTGCCGAATTTTATTTTTTCAATGGACCTTTTAGATTGAATATTTTTCTTTATCATCATTATATTTCATTGAAGATATAAAGAATGTGTTTGAAAGTCTTCCGTTTTCATTTATTTGTTGCGATTTTTTGAATAACCAACGGAATTTTTAATCAACAAAGTAAAGCTTGTCAATTTTTTACGCGTTTTGAATTGTTTAAAATTGTATAGGTAAACAATTTGCCTTAATATTATTTCAAATACTACAAAGTAGAATTAAAATGTGTGTAATTGGTACACGTTAGCATGATTTAATTGACATTTATTAAAATAAATTTGACATGATCAATATTTTAAATCAGAAAATTAATGATTTAATTTAAAGGTTTTGATATATTATGATTGCAGTACCTGGTGCATCAGATAAAAACATGTCACACTTCATCATAAATTCCGCAGATAGCATCGTTTATCACGGTGCCTTTCTTCTTTAAATTAGTCTATATAAACACGAACTCCTTATTCTGAATTGAATTAAATTCTGTCATCAGTAAATTCATCAAAGTGTATGAAATAATACCAAAGTAAACACATCAAGGACGATTAGGTTTCTTTAATACCCTTGCTTTAATTGGATAGTTTGATCTGATTATCTTTTATCAAGGCGTCAAGAATTTGTGTCTAGATTTTTCCTTATAAATTAAATTAATACATATCTTTTAGAATTTTCCATTGGTGCAAAATGTTTCTGTCGAGTGTTCATTATCTAGTTTTAACAATATCATCATTTTCACATTTAATAAATGATTTATAAAGGGTTTTTTTCATGATGGTCGGTTCTATAATGTATTATAATGAACGTTTATTATACATATTTAAAATATAAACTTAAGATAAAATATGCAGCTGATTTGTCAATGTTCAATACTTGAGCCTTTTAAAGTAATTTCCAAGTTTTATGTATACAGAAAAGTACTTTTTAAAGTTAAACAGTGTTTTACTTTGATTTTTTATTAAATATAAAAAAATCATCCATAGAAATTAATCCACTTTATATAAGATATGCCTGAATAAAAAATATAAAACTATAACGCGACTAAGTTTGTTTTTGTAAATCTTAAAGGAAATAATTGAATAAAAGATCAAGAATGAATGGAACTTAGAAACACGCCTTTGAATAAGGAAGACTTAATTTAATTTTTAACGTGGATGTGTAATTATTAGGCAAAAATTGAAACAAATACATGTATTTAATATTAATACGCTTTTATACGTTTTTTCATACGTTTTTTGTATAAAATATGCTTATATTATGTCTTTCAATATTATTGAAAAGAATAAGTAAAATTCCCAATAAGACACAAAACAGATCTTCTTTCAAAGACCTCGATTCTTTTTTATTTAAACATAATAATAATGTAATTATTATGAATCAATTTATTTAAGACATTTTCGGAATGAAATACCGAAACTCTTTTGACAATGAGTCCCAGTCTTTTAAATTGTCATTCAAAATATTTGTTTAAGATAAGTATAACGAAATTTTGTATTGATTTTGTTATTCAAATCCATGAGAAACTCAAACGTTAATTCACAGAACTCAATTTAAACACTGATATATTTGCCGATCCTACTTTACCACTCCTTTAAGAGTATGTTAGAGAACCGGATAAAAAAGTACATGTATGACCAGCCCAAAACGCTGCAATTTATGAAAAACGTTTTAATTTTGAAAAATAATTGAAGAACAAGAACAGTAACCAATCTCACAAAAGATGCCAACGACAAGATAATTAGTAAGACAATGTTTTATAATTAACCCCAAACCATTATGTTGTCTTTATTATTCTTCTGCCAAAATTTTCCTGAAAATGTCACTTAAGTACATACATGTATTGGTTTGGTAGTTACTGTAATTTGTAAATTTCTTTGTGTAAAAAGAACGATAGCTAAATAATTAGTAAAATTAAAGATTAACACTTTCCATAATCATTTTATAACACAAAAGTTTTATCTGGTTTATATATATTCGTTTAATCTTCTCTAAATTTTAGAATCATTTTGAACATGTAGTCCCTTTTCTTCTTTAATTATTTTATTTTGTAAATTGATTAAATACTTTGTACTATCTAGTTAAAAAAAATTAACTAAAGCTTCACTTAACCACTTGTTGACATTGATTCCCAATTCAAAATTCATAGTTTGAAATACAGATTATACACGATCGATTTGTACCGTCAGCGAATTGTAGATGCTACAATGTACATGACAAAGAGCAGTAACTATTTACCAGAAAACGTTTTAATACTCTCTATTACCTAACTTCTTCAGAAAAAATAAGTAGAATTCTGACATATAGATGTACATGCATTCTTTTCTTTAATTTTACATTTTACTTTATTTACCAATGAGGTTAAATGGTATGACCGGATATAAAATGGTTTGAATGCTAGAATGCTTCACAATGTTGAAAAGTAAAAAGTAAATGAAATATATTGAGATACCGAACAGTAAATCTAATTTCTTATTGGCGTCTTTAATATAAACTGTAAGGCCATTATTCATTTCATATATTTGTCATCGGTCAGTTGCAAAATTACTTTGTTCAAAACATCTTGATTTACAAACAGGTTCTCTGTTGATATTATAAAGATGCTCGATTTTCTGATTAACAATAATTATGTGCTTTTTGGAGACCATGTCTTCCAACAATCTATTGGAGTTCTCTTGGATACTACTAGTATTTGCGCCCCGTTATTAGCAGACCTATTTTTGTATTCAGTTAAATCAGAATTTGTTCAAAATCTTATATGTAAAAAGAAAAGGAAAACATCGCCTGTGGCCTTCAATTTGTCATTTAGATGTATTGTAAATTAACAATTGTTATTTCCATTTTTCTGTCGATACGATATATCCGGCCGGTGAACTTGAAACAGAAATATTACAGAGGCTGACATATCTGTTTCATATTTCGATACTTAACATGAAAGACTTTAATGGTAATCTAACCTCCTAGCTTTATGATAACATGATAACTTTAACTTTTCATTTGTCAACTAACCTTACTTATGCAGCACTATACATCACCTGCATACGTCGTTTATATCTCAGTTGATTCGATACCCAAGAGCATGCTCCACGTATGAACATTTTCTAAAAGGTGAATTAGTGACAGACAAGTTGCTGAAACGGAAACAAGAATATCAGCAGTCTCGTTTAAAGTCATCATTTTGTAAGTTCTATGGTCGATAAAATGACCTTAACAGCAAATACAGTTTATCATTGAGTCAAATGTCGATTGATTTTTTTCATACTATTAGGCCATTATATACACATTGTCGAATATTTTTACAGTTATTTCCCGATCATGACACACGGCGGGTGTGCTGTTCAGCAAGGAATGATAACTCCTCCTTGAAATCTTATTCACTTCTGATATTGTTGAATTTCCCTTGAATTTCAATATGCCAACAAAGAAATTTACACAGTTAACTAAATGTAGGTAATATTCTTAACCACGAGAGAGTCCAACCTTGTATTCCACCATAAATCTATTTCACATTGAAGAAATATTTTTTTTTTTTACAAACATACATCGACTATTGTTTCCAAACGTTTAATTACAAGAAACTAAAAGGCCATGATATGGATTATTTGAAATATATAATCCTCCATCATGCTTATGTTCTTCTTCACGCTAAAAATTTATTACTGCTGGGCATTTTATCAGTGGTGACGTACATATGCACAATGTACATGTAGTTAAATTTCGAACCTTAAGTCATTTATCTTTAAATAGAATAAATAACAAAATTTATTAAACCCCGATTTTCATCTCCTATCATTATTTGAAAAATATTTTGAATTCTGTGGAAGTTTAATACCAGCGATGGGACGGACATGAAAAGGAAGACCTTGGCACTTTATCAGAATTGATTATATAGTACTGTATACAGGGAAATGTTCGCCCCCGTTTTATTTTCGCCTCATTAGGGCGAATTTAAAACTGGACGAATTAAAAAAAATTAGTATAATTTCTTAAACAAAACTACGATTGGGCGAATTAAAAAACAAGGCAAATTTGTTTTACATTGTGAAAGGTCGAAAATAACACGGGGCGAAAATAACCCTGTATACAGTATTATAATTTTGTTACAATCTCACATTGAGCGATTGAGGGGCAATATAAAAACCATTTAACCTTCTGTTTTCAGTAGATCAGAAGATAAAAAAAAAATCAAATAGATTACACGATCAGCATATACATGTGCTGGTCCGAGTTGCATGACAATGCAGGTCACAGCATTGTCTTTGTAAGGGTCATTATTTCTATTATAGTATATTAAAGTATCTGAGTTTCAATTCTATAAAGTGGTAATCTTACTTATACTCATAGCCCCCTTTCTGATATCATCTAAAATCATTTGTCAGCTTCCAATATTTTCAATATTCCACACAACGAAAATAAAAATGATATATCTATAATGAATTCCGAAACTTCATAAAACAAGTCTACAAAGAAACATTGCGGGGAAAAATAAATGTTCTACAAAGCGGTTTATAAAAAAGTATAAACTGCCCCAAGTTATGTTATATCGTATAACAAAGATTAAAATAAACTTCATTCCATATAATTAATTTCAGAGTAGACAATGAACCAAATTTCCCTCCAAAAATGGCTTCGAATAGGGCATATTTTTAGAAGTAACGTCAAGCGGAGTTGTACGTTTTTGATGAATTCTCATTGTGACGTAGGTAAATAAAGTTATAAGATATATATTAAAATATTTTATCCAACCAAATGATGTGTTACAACTAAAGGAGAATGTATAGTTTTAGCTTTATTGTGCCCTAAAATGTAATGTCATAAAAGAGGTTTGAAACTGGCTTAAATATTAGTTATGTATATGACTGTGATAAATCAGGAACGAATATTGCATGAAAGAATACTATTCTGCAAATATGACGTCATTAATGTGAAACATTTCTCTATTTTAAACAGAAAACACATCAAAATGGCCCATTTAAAGGGTAATTTTCCTTTAGAAAATAGGGTCCACAGCCGTGGCCAACTATAATTTTTTGCTATGTCGTGCAAAAGTCAACAAAAAGTCACTAGGGTGTTTCATAATATATGTTACATTTTGAGATCTAATTATTTTTCTTACCTATCATACTTCTATTACAAACTTTATATCATTTTAAACAATGAATCCTGCATTTTTGTTCCATGTGAAAAAGTCAAGGAAATCATGGTCTTGAAATGATTAAATGTGCTATAAATGTCGCTGGTTTTTGCGGACAAACACACACACACACACACACAGAGAGAGAGAGAGAGAGAGAGAGAGAGAGAGAGAGAGAGAGAGAGAGAGAGAGAGAGAGAGAGAGAGAGAGAGAGAGAGAGAGAGAGAGATAGACAAGGCAAAAATTATATACCCCCGGGAGTTTGTTTACGGTGGCATAAAATTTTTAACCATTCCATTTTTATCAAATAAAAGATATTGCCATTTAAGAATGAAGACAAAAATGAGAATTATGAATAATTTTAATGGAGACTTTAAAAGAAGATTGGTGTTACAACTGAAAACCCGAAAATGACGACCAGTTGGGATGTACAGATTGCCCATGGCTATCATATGTTCGTATCCATGCCTTATCACCCTTCTTCATTTTAATTACAGCGGCAGAGGATCCGGTTTCATAGATGCCATTTTGACTTCCATTGGCATAGTTGTATAGCCAACAATTTTATTATTCAATACAATTTCTGTATTAAACAGTTTACCCTTTCCTGTTAGAACAGTCCATGTAAAATAGTAGATGCCATCTGTTGGAGCAGTGAATTTCCCAGAGGACGGATCATATGCGTTTCCTTCATTTAGGGTTATTTTTCCAAATGCAACTGGTACATTGGTTGCCAAACTGGTCAATTGTTTAGACATGAGTGCATGGAATGCTGCAGGAGGCCCTGAAATGAAAGAATAACGTTATAAAAAAACTCAAAAGCCATTTAAGAGTATACATGAGTCTAAGAGTCATTTCTAAGAGTCATTTTCTGGTTTTAATACCTCTTTCTCTTCGTTTGCAACCTTGGTCCTGATACCCCATGCCAATGCAAATTTCATGGTATTTCTTGTAGGACGTGACGAAATCAGAGGAAGAATTTGCATCAGTTTCTTTATTAAGGATGAGGATCATGACCACCACATTTAGAAGAAGGAACCTTAAAAAATGAATCGGTATCTTTTAGAATTTCTATGAATAAAGAGCTTTATTTGTAGCTGTCTTAATTACAAAAAAATACTTACTCTGAATTAAAGGAAATAAAGTATTTTGCACTTTATTTAATATCATAAACACCTAAACATAAAATAATGATTTTCCCTTTAACAATACTTACATTTTTTAGTCTAAGCACAAGTAGCAAACCTGTGGAAAAAAACAAGGAAGATTTTGGCTTTTGTTAAATATTAGTGACTATATATACAAGTATATGTACACCCACAAAGTAATTAAAATGAAATAAAAGTTTTGTAACTGATGCATTTATCAATATTAGACACTATCTCTAAGTACACGCTTCAGTTATTTAGTACTGAATTAAGCATGTTTGTGCCAAATGATGTTTCCTCATATTGGTATGAAAAAAGTGTAACTAACACAGGAGTTTATTTTAAAATATTTCCTTTTAGAACGATTTGTTTTCTCTATGATATCTCTTTGAAAGTTAGTGGACTTGATTTCTTGGTAATTCTAACGAAATGTAAATTTTGTCAAGAAATACGTCAGGAGCTAAGGAGGCCTTATATTCATGTAAATTTGATTAAAAAGAAATAAATTATGAATAATGAAATTGTGAATTAGAAGTAAATTTGAATGTTTCCACGAGTCTTACTCTAAAGTGATTTGCCAGTGTAAATAAATTAATGCAATGTTTAAAAGAGGCTTTTAAGAACATGGGCGAGTAAAAATGATCATGACATTATCTGAGATCATCGATGTACCGGGTAGATTTTAGATACAGGCGGACCAAATTAAATGTTTGTCATCTCTCACGAGAGATCACACATTAAGTTTGATTTTCGGATGTGAAGTCCCAGTGTAAGCTGCTATTTATCAATCGGCAATCCTCGGCTGACTCCACTACGCTACATACAAAAAGTGTGAGGCCACCCGAGGATCACCGACTGGTCAGTTTGACACGATGATACGATTTTCTACATATAGAGATGTAAACAACGAGCAATCTGCCTTATTATTGAAAAGAAAACAAGCTGCGAAGAAAGCATAGAGAGTCCGACACACACACACACACACACACACACACACCCTCTCACACACGCACACACACAATCGCCTGGATGATAGGGGTTCTTCAAAATATACACTGTATGTTTTCTATATATTCGATCAATGCATACTATCTTTGCAAGATATATAACTGTATTCAGCGGCAGCTCACACATATTGGTCCGACCAAAATAATTCCATCATGATAAGTAGATACAACATTATTGTTCATGATAAGAGTAAAGTTGTGTATGTCATACGTTAAAGAAATCAAAAATAACGTCAAAATATCATTAGAAAGTCACTTTCCCCCCGAAATGCAAATAAAAAATATCAATATTTCTACGCTCGCTCCCTCCTCAGCCTTTGGGGGGGGGGGGGGTCGTCTTGAACATAGTAAATAGCCATAACGTTTGAACGGTAAGTACTAGGGCTTTTATATTTTAAATATGTAATCCTTGTGAAAAGAACTTTTATTGGATACGACGAACTTTGACCCTTTGACCTAGACCTTGGAGAACACATGTGTACATCTGAATCTTTTTTTATGTTTCGTTTGTATGGCAACTGTGAGCGACTTATTACAATTATTTTGAAAGTAGAAATCACTTTGACACATTGCAAGGAATAAACATTGAAAGTTTCAAAACGATTGCCTGAGTAGTTATTGAGAAAATCGAAATTAAAGAATTTTAACTTTCACCTGGTTTCCATGGCAATAATCGATTATTTGAAAATTTTAAATGCGAGACGCACAACTACAGATACTAATCATTCAAATAAGAAAAGTTTCATGACGAACGTTTAAGGGACCAGAGAGAACACTCTCGGACAAAATTTGTCGCTTTTTACAGGTTTCCATGGCAACGGTAGACATATTGGAACTGAACGACCTCACTGCACAACTACAACCAGTGATCGTCCTTTGAGGAAAGTTTCAGGAAGATTGTCCCAGCCATCTCCGAGAAACAGCCTGGATAAAAAAAACATGCGTACAATATCAATATGTCGTCCCCGACTTCGTTCGGGGCGACATAATAACTCCTGAATTTTTCTCATCAATAACTCCTGAATTTTCCCCTTCAATTCGAGCATTTCTGCATTGCAGAGAGCTGATGTTGTTATGAGAAGATAAATCATGTGTAAACTTTCTCAGTTTAGCGGAATCATGAACATTTTCGGCGATATGAATGTTTTGTATACAGTGGTGATCAAGGCTTCGCGAACCTGCAGGAGTGGATCAAAGGATTTATGAATGAATAAAAACTATGGAAATGACGTACCAATTTTTTAATTTATACTTGCCTTATCTAATGAAATGAATAATATACAAGTGACAGATATACAAGAAAACGCGAAATGATAATAAATGCAGCTGACAATCGTTATTTTTTTTTATATAGATAAAATAAAATATTTATAAATTCAAGAGACAAAACAGAAGGAGAATGAATGATGGCAAAATATCACATGACGGGAACTGAATTTTATGAATGAAGATTTTAAAAAGTTACTTGTAAGTTGTATATGTTATATCTGTGTATTCTACTTGGCTGTGTGCTTCAAAAAAGGGGGGGGGGGTCGTCTTGAACATAGTAAATAGCCATAACGTTTGAACGGTAAGTACTAGGGCTTTTATATTTTAAATATGTAATCCTTGTGAAAAGAACTTTTATTGGATACGACGAACTTTGACCCTTTGACCTAGACCTTGGAGAACACATGTGTACATCTGAATCTTTTTTTATGTTTCGTTTGTATGGCAACTGTGAGCGACTTATTACAATTATTTTGAAAGTAGAAATCACTTTGACACATTGCAAGGAATAAACATTGAAAGTTTCAAAACGATTGCCTGAGTAGTTATTGAGAAAATCGAAATTAAAGAATTTTAACTTTCACCTGGTTTCCATGGCAATAATCGATTATTTGAAAATTTTAAATGCGAGACGCACAACTACAGATACTAATCATTCAAATAAGAAAAGTTTCATGACGAACGTTTAAGGGACCAGAGAGAACACTCTCGGACAAAATTTGTCGCTTTTTACAGGTTTCCATGGCAACGGTAGACATATTGGAACTGAACGACCTCACTGCACAACTACAACCAGTGATCGTCCTTTGAGGAAAGTTTCAGGAAGATTGTCCCAGCCATCTCCGAGAAACAGCCTGGATAAAAAAAACATGCGTACAATATCAATATGTCGTCCCCGACTTCGTTCGGGGCGACATAATAACTCCTGAATTTTTCTCATCAATAACTCCTGAATTTTCCCCTTCAATTCGAGCATTTCTGCATTGCAGAGAGCTGATGTTGTTATGAGAAGATAAATCATGTGTAAACTTTCTCAGTTTAGCGGAATCATGAACATTTTCGGCGATATGAATGTTTTGTATACAGTGGTGATCAAGGCTTCGCGAACCTGCAGGAGTGGATCAAAGGATTTATGAATGAATAAAAACTATGGAAATGACGTACCAATTTTTTAATTTATACTTGCCTTATCTAATGAAATGAATAATATACAAGTGATAGATATACAAGAAAACGCGAAATGATAATAAATGCAGCTGACAATCGTTATTTTTTTTTATATAGATAAAATAAAATATTTATAAATTCAAGAGACAAAACAGAAGGAGAATGAATGATGGCAAAATATCACATGACGGGAACTGAATTTTATGAATGAAGATTTTAAAAAGTTACTTGTAAGTTGTATATGTTATATCTGTGTATTCTACTTGGCTGTGTGCTTCAAAAAAGGGGGGGGGGGTCGTCTTGAACATAGTAAATAGCCATAACGTTTGAACGGTAAGTACTAGGGCTTTTATATTTTAAATATGTAATCCTTGTGAAAAGAACTTTTATTGGATACGACGAACTTTGACCCTTTGACCTAGACCTTGGAGAACACATGTGTACATCTGAATCTTTTTTTATGTTTCGTTTGTATGGCAACTGTGAGCGACTTATTACAATTATTTTGAAAGTAGAAATCACTTTGACACATTGCAAGGAATAAACATTGAAAGTTTCAAAACGATTGCCTGAGTAGTTATTGAGAAAATCGAAATTAAAGAATTTTAACTTTCACCTGGTTTCCATGGCAATAATCGATTATTTGAAAATTTTAAATGCGAGACGCACAACTACAGATACTAATCATTCAAATAAGAAAAGTTTCATGACGAACGTTTAAGGGACCAGAGAGAACACTCTCGGACAAAATTTGTCGCTTTTTACAGGTTTCCATGGCAACGGTAGACATATTGGAACTGAACGACCTCACTGCACAACTACAACCAGTGATCGTCCTTTGAGGAAAGTTTCAGGAAGATTGTCCCAGCCATCTCCGAGAAACAGCCTGGATAAAAAAAACATGCGTACAATATCAATATGTCGTCCCCGACTTCGTTCGGGGCGACATAATAACTCCTGAATTTTTCTCATCAATAACTCCTGAATTTTCCCCTTCAATTCGAGCATTTCTGCATTGCAGAGAGCTGATGTTGTTATGAGAAGATAAATCATGTGTAAACTTTCTCAGTTTAGCGGAATCATGAACATTTTCGGCGATATGAATGTTTTGTATACAGTGGTGATCAAGGCTTCGCGAACCTGCAGGAGTGGATCAAAGGATTTATGAATGAATAAAAACTATGGAAATGACGTACCAATTTTTTAATTTATACTTGCCTTATCTAATGAAATGAATAATATACAAGTGATAGATATACAAGAAAACGCGAAATGATAATAAATGCAGCTGACAATCGTTATTTTTTTTATATAGATAAAATAAAATATTTATAAATTCAAGAGACAAAACAGAAGGAGAATGAATGATGGCAAAATATCACATGACGGGAACTGAATTTTATGAATGAAGATTTTAAAAAGTTACTTGTAAGTTGTATATGTTATATCTGTGTATTCTACTTGGCTGTGTGCTTCAAAAAAGGGGGGGGTCGTCTTGAACATAGTAAATAGCCATAACGTTTGAACGGTAAGTACTAGGGCTTTTATATTTTAAATATGTAATCCTTGTGAAAAGAACTTTTATTGGATACGACGAACTTTGACCCTTTGACCTAGACCTTGGAGAACACATGTGTACATCTGAATCTTTTTTTATGTTTCGTTTGTATGGCAAC